GGCGCGCTCACCAGGGCGGCCAGTGCGCGGCCGAGAGCTGCGGCGCGGCGTGGGAAGCCGTGCTTGGCCAGACAGGCGATGACCAGCGGTGTCGAGTAGAAGAGCGCAAGCTGCAATCTTTCTGACGCCTCTTGCTGTGTGCGTGTGTGCGTGTGCGTGTGGCGTGTGCGGTGTGCGGTAATGTGTGTGCGGTGGTGCGTGTGCGTGGTTTGGCCATCATCAGGCCTTGATTGATGGCGGCGAAGAGGTGAGTGGGTTGTTACCGGGAGGTGAGAGCGCCGTGCTCGATGAGGCATTCAACGAGAGTGGTCACCCATTGCTCCCGCGCAGGCCACCTACAGCCCAGGGACGACCCGGGGCGTTGGTCTCCGTGCAGCCAGTACAGCAGCTGGCTCAGCGCGTTGGCGTTGGCGTCAACGACACCACCGCCGCCGCCTCGACCGACGGACGATGTCGGCAGCCGGCCGCCCCGCGCCATCAGAAGCCGGGCCACAGCCGCCTTCCTTGCGCTGGCCTGGGCTGAGTTGGCCGGCCGCAGCAAAAGGTACCACAGAGGGGTCAACCTGCTGTCCTGCTTCGCCGTAGTGGCCACCGCGGTGAGAAAGCGCACACTCGCCACGCACACGCACACGCACACGCACACGCAACGGGCACGGAGCATCGTACATCGGTTGCATTGGGCGCTGCGCCGCGGTCGAGGAGCGGTTCAACCAGAGGCGGTGAGGGCGATGCGACGAGGCAGGCCCTGTGCAGCGGGGTCTCCGGTATTCGCTGGTTCACATCGGCGCCATGGTCAAGCAGCAGCAAGGCCACCTCTTCCCCATCGCTTCGCTGCGTTTGGTTGTCAGCAAACTATGTCATGTACGTGTGGCCGTGTCGTGTGGTGTCGTGTGTGTGGTGTGTGGTGTGTGTGTGTGCTGCGAACGCAGGACAAGTACTTGGCAAGCGAAGTGGATGGGGTGAAAACGGCGGTGGACTTGGTCGAGCCGGGCTCCCCGCTCGATCATCGCTGCAACGACGGCCGCGTCGCAGTACCTCAACGCGCGCAGTACCTCGTAGGAGCAGTCATAGTCGCGCGGCAGCTCACCCAAAAGGAATTCGATCGTCTTGGTCCGCCTCTTTCCGCAGGCCTCTTCCAACGCTGCGCTCACGACACGACACGCGCGCAACCACGCACGCGACGCGACACAGACCTGTCAGCTCGTGCTATAGAAATTGAAATGAAGGCGGTAGGGCACCCAACCCGTGTAGCCTCGGGGTCCGAGGGAGTTAACCACTTTGTGCCGATCCTCAGTGCACCGCGCAAGCACCGCCTGCGCCAACGCCACGTCCTCTTTTGCACCTGATCTCGCCCCCACTTACAGTCAGGCACTCACTCGGCACGCATGACTCGACACGCACA